GGCAAGGGAGAGACAACTCTGATGACTTATGGTTGAATCCTCAGAGGACAAGGGACACACTTTAGAATCTGTGGGGGATGCAGCACAGTTATAACAGAATGCTTGCTTAGCATGCAAACAAAGCCCTGGGTTCCATTCCTTATACTGCCAAAGAATTAACAAAAAAGGTTCCTTCTATAAGAAATTAGAAATGGAGCACAGCACTAAGCAACTGAGCATTTTGGCTCCAGTATCGGAGAATCTCTTTTCTGACTCAGACCATATACTGCCTGTCAGATAGACTGACGCGGGGGGGGGGGGGGGGGGGGGAGTGCAGAATGAGAGCAAATCCTGTTAAGGAAATGGATAGCTACTTCCACACTTCAGCATTACTACTACTCAGAAGACTTGAACTCTGATTAGAGAGGATCATGTATGGTGAAGAGAAGGCTGTGAGCTCCGCAAATGCTAACTATCCCAGACACAGACAAGATATGGACTGGTGTCGATTTCTTCTTTTCTTATTTATTTCTTATTTTTAAAAAAGTGAACCATATGATGAAAATGGACTTTCATATGAACATTTGAAAATTGCCCTGTTCTTTTTTCTAGTTCCTGTCTAGAACTTGTTATGCTAATTACTCTTGCCTTTACTTCTCCTTCATGTCTCCTAGTCACCAGTCAAGGACTTTCTTATCCCCCTACAGATAAGAGTTATGCAATCTGGGAGTCTTTTAGATAGACCCACTGAAGGGGTGCTCCAATTCCCTTGTCCTGTGTCCCTGTTCAGCATGGAAGAAGCCACAGCGGTTGGTGTCCCTTATTCCCTATTGGCAATTTGGGTAACCCTTCCAGAGGATGGTGTGATAAGAATAGGAGGTAGGAATTGGCTAGGCAGTTAGGGTAAAAAGACCCCAAAGAAATGTAGCCAGTTTCTTGGCTAAAAGTCAAAATGTCCTTGGGCCTGTTAGCAACATACTCTGTTCCAAGGCCAAAAATGTCAAAAGTATTTGGGAGCTTGTATCTAATCCTTAAAAGATTTTAGGGTTACCACTTCAGAGGGGGGAATGTTGGAGGGGAGGGAGTGGGCATGGATTTGATCAAAACATATATACATGTATGAGATTCTCAATGAAGTTTTTGTAAAAAGAAAGAAAAAGAAAATATATTGTATGAAATTTGCAAAAATTAAAGTGACAACACTATGGAGATTTTAGAAAACACTCAAGAGTACAACATAGGCTGATGCTGATTTCATACAGTTGCATGCCCACATACATATATATAAAGAACACCAAAATGGAATCAGAATACATATAAAGTTGCATATGCCTCTTAGTTTAACAGGAGCACATTCCTATGTCACTAAACCATTTTAACAGCCAGGTAACACAATATCTATTTAGCCAACAGAACCTGGGAATGTTTTGAGTTAAAATTGTCAGATTAGACCTCTATAGGTGAAGCTGCCTTCAAAAACCACCCTAGAATTTCTAATTAGAAATCTCAAATTACAATTTGAAAGCAGTAGAACTTTTCAAACTAGAATTCAATGAAGGGCCAGTGAGATGGCTCAGCAGGTAAAGGTACTTGCCACCAAGCCCAACAATCTGAGTTTGATCCCCGGTTCCCGCATGGTAGAAGGAAAGAACTGACTTCTGCAAGTTGTCCTCTGATCTTGTGTATTGTGGCACACATGTACCCACACATACACTCACATAATAAATAAATACAATAAAACTTTTGAAAAAAGAATTCAGTGAAATTCACTGAGTTTTACTCATGGAGGATGTTCACCAAAGATTATATTATCCCAGAGAACATTACATAGACTTTTTTTTTCTGGTGCTAAAGATTGAAACCAAAGCCTCAAGCATGCTCGGTTCTACCACTGAGCTATATCCTAGCCTTGAGGAAGAAATTGGCTAAGTATCAAAGAATGAAGTGATAATAATAAATAAGAACTAATAAGCGTCTATTGCAAGAATTAGTTGATGGTCTGCAATGGTGTATTTATTTAATAAAGCAAAATAAGAACAAGTTTTTATTTTTATTTGTATAATTAAGTTTTTGAACGGGTATAGTAAAATGCAACCAGAAAAAAATAAGAGCAAATATGACAGAGTTAAGTCTTTAATTCCAGAGTTCAGATTATTCTTCATACTTTTCCATATTTAAATTTTTCTCACAACAAAAACATGTTAAATTAAAATACTAGTCATGTGAGTAAGATCATTCATATTTTTATTGCTAAAGTGAAAGCAAAGTAAGTAAGTTTTACTGGAGGCTAAGTAGATCTTTTGACAAGGAAAAACAAAAAGGTGGACATCAGAAAACTATTATAAAATAAACCCACTTTAAACTGTAGTTTAATGAACAATAGCAATGCTTCATGTCAGAAGCCATGAGAGGAAGGACCAGCTTTTACACTTTGCAGCTGTTCTTTCCCTAAATGATGCCCTACCTAAAGATGATCCTTTCCTATTGTACCACCAAGACAGTTATTTTGGTAGTTATGTACATAGAAAAACACGGGACCATGCTTGTACGTCTTTATTTCGTATACCTAAATACAAAATAAAGGTTTTTCTGAGGCTAGATTATCTACTTTTTAAATTCCAGTTTCTAAAATCCAATCTTAGCTAGCTGACAATTAGAGTTGGTCACCTGATGAACATGGATATGTCTTACTAAACATAGATAACTGCAATTTTCTAAGTGAGAAAAAAATATATATTAAGGAATAAAAAGTTACAGAATAAACCAAACCTTTACATTGGTTCTCACAAACAAAATTTTTTAATAAATATAACTGCATTTAATTGCCGCATTTCCCTGAAATGAAGCCTTGGGTTCTTCTAACTTTGTAACAGCATTCCCCACACCCCATTCCACTCGTCAGTTCTCAACTTCTCTCCCTGCTAGAACACGTGAATTTTTCAGCAAAAGTGACTCATTCCTTGGCATCTTGTCAAAGTAACCCTGCAACTCTAAGAAGGCTCAGTTCGAACAGAATTCTAAAGCTAGAACTTCCACTAACACGGCCGCCTCAGAGAGCAGAACCACACACTAACAAATTCTGTTTATGTTTTCCCTTACAAATCCCTCTCCCCACCCCATTGCCTCCCAGTTTTACTCTGTAACTCCCTTATCTAAAATACTCCCCTTATCATGGAGAAGACATGCCTGGAAAGCATTGAAGAGTGAGGAATAAAAGCAATGGTTCACTTGGCTTAGAAGATTCATTCATTCACTGATCTATGGTTCTCAAAGTTTACTTCTCCCCTCATTTAAATGAAAACACTAGATTGCTCTAGTTTGTTTCTCCATTGCTGTGACAAAATACTCTGACCAATACAAACTTAGGGAGAAAAGGGTTTATTTGGCTTACATCTCCTGGGTCACAATTCATCAGGGAGCCCAAGGTAGGAACTCGGGACAGGAACCTGGAGGCAGGAGCTGGAGCACAGGCCATGGAAGAACACTGCTTACTGTCTTGCTCCCCTAGCCCATGTTCAGCCTGCTTTCTTATACAACACAGGACCAACTGCCCAGGGGTGGCACCACCCAGAGTGGGCTGAGCCCTCCCATATCACTCAACAATCAAAAAAATACTCCACAGACATGGCCACAGGTTAATCCAGTGGAGAGGCAATTCCCCAGTTAAGGTTCCCTTCAACCCAGGTGTGTCGAGTTGACCGCTAAAGCTATCCAGCACACAGATACAATTGGAAATCTACAGGAAAAGAAATTACTTGTTGCTGTAGTTTAAAAATACAGCATAAAAATCAGTTCTTGAGAACTGTTTTGTTAAAATCTTCAGTAATCAGTCTGGCGTGGTGGCACACACCTTTAATCCTAGCACTCGGAAGCAGAGGCAGGCAGCTTGCTGTAAGATACAGGCCAGTCTGGGATGGTCTACATAGAGTTCCAGGCCACCTCAGGCTACACAGTAAGACCCTGTCTCAAAAAAAAAAAAAAAATATGGGGCTGGAGAAATGGCTCAGTGGTTAAGAGCACTGACTGCTCTTGCAGAGGACCTGGTTCAATCTCCAGCACCCACATGGAGGCTAACAACCATCCTTAACCATCCACCTTCTTCTGACCACTGTGGGCACTACATGACATGAGTGCACTTACACACATGCAGGTAGTACACTTATACACATAAAATAATAAAATATTTTTTTAGAAAAACCAAAATAAATAGTCTTCAGTAAGCTGTCACTTGCACTTAACTGTCAGCTACAAATCACTTTATCCTTTGGTTCACATTTATCTACTCCCCGCTTCAAGATAGAAAATGCTCTTTTAACCAGAAAGCAGTGAAGAGGGAACAAGACAAAAAGGCCTTATCAGATCTCCACGGACATGTACTTTGAGCTCTATCAACTGTCACGCTCCACCTGGTGGTAGGAACTCCCGGAGTTGCTGAAGTGGAGGTCCTTACAGAAACTTTGAAAATTTAAAATTAAAAACACAAGATGTTCTTCTTTTGCCCTATACACAGCAAGTCTGACAAATTTCCAACAAAGGTTTTTCAAATAGAAGGTCAACATCAGATAAAGATTAGTATAAAAGTCTAAGGACTTAGAAGGAAGACCTACATTTCGAGATCTCCCTAAGAGCTATTCTCTCCAGAATAAGTGAGCTCAGACCTTCAAAACAGGTGACAAGACACAGAGCTACAGGATTCTCTCTCACACACTCCCACTACTTTTTTTCCCCTTTCCCCTCCAGGTAAACTATAGAGTTTAATTAACACAGTGAACAGCAGCCTGCCACATTGCTTTTAGATATTTGCCAGTAGCATATATACTCATGGGATACTCTAGAGACTGATTTCAACAAAAAATAAAATAGATAAACAGAGCTCAAGCAAAATTAAAACTGAGTCTGGCTGCCCACACTTATTTTCACACATGAAGAAAAATAGCAGTTCTCTTAGAAGCCTCAAGCACACACATATCTTTAGAACACAATGTTAAAAATATGCCCCCACCCCCTGCCTTTTCCCCTACCTGTTTCTCACTCAAAGCTGTGATTTTGGCTTGGAGTTCATGAAGCTGTTTCTTTAAGTCAGCATTCTGATTGGAAAGAAAAAATAGCTGTGAGAAAGATATTCATTTGTTAACGTAATGGAAGCAACCTGCATAGTGTATTACAAATGAAGCAACCTCAAACATTTAGTCAATCACATTTTCATGTCTTAAGTTATAATCATACTATCTACCCTAATGCAGAAACCGTCAATGTGAGCTCCTAACAGAAGAGAAGCTGCATCCTTGGGACTGTTTTAAATTACAAGTTTTACATTTTAGCATCTTGCACTATAATAGTATCTTTCTACTAAAAGATCACTATTCTTTATAGAGAGTATCAGTCCACAGAAAACTCTAAACTCCACTAATCAGACAAAAGCAGGAAAATGGATGTTTTAAGTGTGTGTGTGCTCTGTGCTTAGGGGCTTATCAACAGAGATTAAGAAGGTTTTCTCTACTTGTCCCCCTCTTATTTAGTAAAGCACATTTGTTGTTTTAGCCTAGATTTGAAAAGCTGTCAGTACTGTAACTGCCTTAACACCACATCACTTAAATCAACACACTGACGATCACAGCGCTTTCTGAGTTATGAAATTCTAGGAATTAAAATGAATACTATTTTAGATGAAATACAATGAACACATCTGTCTTTCATGGGGTGGGATTAAAGTTTTCAAATGTTTAACACAGCAGGAGAGCCACTGGCAGATGGAGAATCATGCCAATGAGAGACTCCTCAACTGTCTCCACATGGCTTCTTCCTATGCTGAGGTTCAAGGTTACTCCATTTGGACTTTTTTAAAAAATATATTTTATGTATTATTTTTATTTTATGTATATGCATGTATTGCCTGCACATAGGTAAGGCACCCGTGTCGTGCAATGCCTGCAGAGGACAGAAGAGGCTGTCGGATCCCCTGGAATGGAGTTACAGCAGTTGTTAGCTGCCATGTGGGTGCTGGGATTCGAGCCTTCTGCAAGAACAGTCAGTGTTCTTTAATCACTGAGCCATCTCCCCAGCCCCTCCATTTGGACTTTTTAAGGTGTGTCTGCCATAAGGCTTCTTTGAGATCACCTAAACTGCTGTCCAACATGTTACTGACCCTCAGACTTTTCAGGTTTAAGTTTTTCTGTCACATGATGACCAACTATCAGAAATGCTAGCTTCTCAGAGTTACTGGTAATATAGATGACCACATTTACTATAAAGGATCTATCAATCTATTGTCTCTCGGTTCCCCAAATGCAATTTAATTTGTGAAAAAAAAAATTCTTAATTGTGGAAAAAAAAATTAAAAAGGAGTTTCTCATGGAAGTTCGACTGTCAAACAGAAATAAATGTAGGTTACAAATACCAGTTCTCAGAATCAATGAATCGTATTAAAATGAATAGTCAGACTACTGAATCCTAAATTCTAGAGATGAATATTATTTTCCACTTCAAAAAAAATCAGTCTGGGGGCTGGAGAGATGGCTCAGCAGTTAAGAGCACTAACTGCTCTTGCAGAGGACCTGGGTTCGATTCCCAGCACCCACATGGCAGCTACAAACCATCCTTAACTCCAGTTCCAGGGGAATCCGAAGCCCTCTTCTGACCTCCACGGCATTACATGACACGGGTGCACTCTCATACATGGCAATACACTCATACCCATTAAAAAAAAAAAAAGTCTTTAAAAAAAAAAATCAATCTGCCTCAGCATCATTCTTGAAAACATTATTTTACTTTATAAAGAGGCATGTATGACCCACTGTCATGAGTACAATGAGTACAAAGAAGATACCATTTGAATAATAAAATGTATCATTGGAAGGCAAGGTAACATGGGGCAGAAGATTTCTCTTCAGAAGAGAACGAAATGCCCAAGTCAAAAACGCCTGTGAAAAAACATTAGATTTAACATTTTAAGATTATAATAATACTACGTACGATACTTCTAATTGGGGCCTGGTGGTATACACCTTTAATCCCAGCACTAGGGGAGGCAGAGGCAGGTGGAGCTCTGTGAGTTCAAGGTCAGCCTGGTCTACATAGTGAGTTCCAGGCCAGCTGGGGCTACAGAGACCCTGTCTCAAAAAGACCAAAAAAAAAGAATTCTTTTCAAAGTCAGGCATGGTAGCACATGCCTATAAGCACCCAAAACTTGGGAAGTTAACAGGCAGGAGGATCAGGAGGTCAAGGTCATCCTTGGCTACATAGGAAGTTTGAGGCTAGCCTGGAACACAAGATTTTGTCTCAAATAAATAAGTAAATAATAAAATAAAGAAATAAAAATTAGCCTAAAATTCTTACTGTGAACAGTAAATTCAGTATTCTGATGTCCTATACATAAACTCTGTGTTCAGTGATTAAGAGTACTGGCTGCTGTTGCAGAGGACCTTGGGTTCAATTCCCAGCACCCACATGGTGGCTAACAACTGTCTATAACTCCAGTGCCAGGAGATCCGATGCTCTCTTCTGACCTCCAAAGGCACTGCACAACATGGGTGCACTTACAGGTATCCAGGCAATAAACTCATACACATAAAATGAAATAAAATAAAATAAAATAATTTTTTTTTAAAGTTTGAACCCAGACCAGAGGATACAGCAAGTTTCAAAAGCAGTTTTTAAAAGAAACTTAAGCTATATGAAACTTGTTAGCCTTCAATTTTTACAAATACTCAGAGCAATGAATGGAAAAACAAAATAATAGTCACCAAGGATGAAAAGATAGTCATCTTAAAATGCAACTGAATTTTTCTAACCCTATCAAACATGAAGATCAATATGCTAAAAACATTTGCTGTTTGGGATGAAACCGTGCTTTAAACTTAACCACCATCTGAATTTTGCTATTTTATTGCCATTTTCAGTTTTTTTCATTGAAAACTTAAGTGAGTAACAATAGGATTTTACCTGTGGATCCTGCTTCATTTGAGCAACCAGTTTCTGGTGATAAAGAGAGAAAAAGAACCATTAGTCTCACATACTAACTCCCCATGACTAATTAGGTTTTACCTCCAAATCTAGGGTTTTTAGTCTCCCCCCACCCCCACCCCACAAAAATGTCACAATCAAAATGGTCAAAAAGCTTCTGGGATCGATGTAAATGGCTCTTTGTAATAGAAAAAAGAATCAAACTATCACCTCATATTTGAAGTAAAAAGAAGCCTATTTGTCAATGTGGAGACCAGAATGGAGGACAGTGACTTTAGGACGGCAATTTAAATAAGCCGGATGCGCAAAAGGTCAAACACCTCTTTACAATTCTGTCTGGAGTCCCAAACAAGGTCTGCAAAGAAGCTGTGCCCTTACAAAACAGGGATGTTTGTATAAGCAAAGTACAGACTTGGCAGGTCTATTGCTTTGGCTCTTACAATAGGAGCATCCTCTTGGAGTGACTCTGTCCCTGTCAGCTATTAAGGCAGAGGGAGCACACAGAAGCATGCTCAGTGGACCAATACCACAATGAAAACTAGGAAGTGGAGTGGTGATGCAAAGTTCTGCCTACCTGGGTTTCTCTGGCAAAGAGTGTGCTACCCCAATACCCAATGAAAAACACCTTTACTGGGAAAACAAAAAAGCCCCATAAATAAAAGACAAAAATTGATGTTATCATCTGACCTACCCCAACTGGTAAAAATATACTGCCCAGGGGCTGGAGAGATGGCTCAGTGATTAAGAGCACTGGCTGCTCTTGCAGAGGATCCTGGTTTGGTTCTCAGCACCCACATTGTGGCTAACAACCAACTGGCTATAACTCCAGTTCCAGGGAATCTGATGCCCTCTTTTGACCTCTGCAGGCATTGCATGACACAGGGTGCACTTACGTACATGAAAACAACACACTCATACACATATCTTTTTAAAAACTGCCCAAAAGTAACAAGAGCCATGGAATGTATGAAAGACCTACGACTATCAGAAGGCTGACACCTAAATGTGTCTAGAATATCTGTTCTCCAAGTGAATTTTTCATATAACGGAAAAAGTCATCACTCCCTGTGAGTGATAAGGTACTTTTTAAAATGTTATAAAATAAAATATATAATATACCCATCTACTTTATTAAAAAGTCAAGTTTTTTATTGTTTAAGAGGCATGATGATTTTAATTAATATACTATACAATATAATAATGACTTGTAAAAAGCCCCAAAATGCTGTGTTTCAGTGAGTTCTTAGGCCTTTTAGTTTTTCAGTCTACTCCTTAACTACCAAGCAGTCAGCTGCAAATCCCCCTACTACTGTGCCTCTTTCTAACAGCAATGAACCCCACTCAACTTTGCTGCTTATGATACACACACCTGACCAATTTTAAGATAAGTTGTGATAACCTAGGAAATTCCTCTTGAGCAAAAATGTAAAATGCTTGGTGAATGACATGACATTTATTCTAATTCAACAAAAGCCTTTCTTCCTAATGCTAAAATACATTCTGGACAGGTGAAGTTGTCACCCATGTGACTTCCAAATACACAGTGTGTGACTAAATTCTACTTCATATTTGACAAGAGTAGCTCTTCAAGAGCCTAGTCTTGCTGGGTGTGGTGATGCATGCCTTTAATCTCAGCACTTGGGAGGCAGAGGCAGGCAGATCTTTGTCAGTTCAAGGCCAGTCTGGTCTATATAGTGAGTTCCTGGACAGCTGGGGCTACAGGGAGACCCTGTCTCAAAAAGACAAAAAAAAAAAAAAGCCTAGTCTTAATTTCCACAATAGTAAATGATGCACATGCACATTCTAAGAGTTCAATGGAATTGAACACACAGTTCTTCAGTTTTAAAAGCTTGCCTGATTTGAGCTGGTAAGATGACTGAATAAGTAAAGGCACTTGCTACAAAGCCTGGCAACCCAAGTTCAATCCCCGGAAGCCACATGGTAAAAGGAAAGAACCAAGTCCACAAAGTTGTCCTCTGACCTTCACAGGTATGCTGTGGTCCACACATGCATGCACACCCACACACCCCCCCCACACACACAAATGTAATAATATTTTAAAATAAAAGTAAAAATCCTGATTGTGCTTTTTTTTTTTTTTTTTTTTTTTTTTTTGACAGGGTCTCCCTGTAGCCCCAGCTGTCCTGGAACTCACTATGTAGACCAGGCTGGCGTTGAACTCTCAGAGATCCACCTGCCCCTGACTCCTGAGTGCTGGGATTAAAGGCATGTGCCTGGCTATAATTGTCCTTTTTTTAGCTGGTTACTACATAATTGACTATTATACTATGAAATTATTTTTGAAGCTGAAAGGGCTTTCCTTCCATACCACTGGTATTTAAAATAATAAATAAAATATTTAAAAACTGATAATCACATTAACTTTCCACCTCTGGAGCAAATAAATAAATTAGCTTTTCTATGTACAAGCAGTTACACTGCATTTCATAAAAACGGGATAAGCCGAGCAACTTACTAGACCTTCCAAATCCCTGGTGACTTTAAAGTGACATTGTGTTATCAAAGTTACTTTCCAATACATAAATGCAGACATTTTTCACAGTATACATTATGTCAAAGAAAAGCCAACAACAGCCAAGAGGCCAAATCCAGCCCACCACCTGTTTTTCTAAAATAAAGTTTTATGGAACAGAACCACACCCATTTGTTTATATTCTGCCTGTGGCTGATTTGTCTGCTCAGCAGCACAGCAGACTAGCTGTGACACAGATTATAAATGACCTGCAGTCTAAAATATTTTACCATCTGGCCCTTTACAAAAAAAAGTTTGTTAACTTCTGCTTGCTTCCTACTGTTCTCCATTCCGTATGGAGTTAATATTTTAGAGACTCCAACAAGTCCACATGCCACCAATCAAAGGGAGAAAGACAATGCCCAAAAGATGTCATTATAATTTAAGCATTTATTGAACATGAACTATGTATACATCACCGCATCTCCCACACATGAAGGGAACATAAAGAAGAAAACTACATTTCCATCACAGCAATATTAGATAGCTTTGGAACTTAGATAGCTAAAAAGCTTGATTTTTGCCAAATTTCATTTCCTAACTGGAAATACAGCCAAAGGTAGTGTTTACTTTTGTGTTTATCCAAAGTGTATTCTTAGCGGGGCGTGGTGGCGCAAGCCTTTAATCCCAGCACTCGGGAGGCAGAGGCAGGCGGATCTCTGTGAGTTCAAGGCCAGCCTGGTCTACATAGTGAGTTCCAGGACAGCTGGGGCTACAAGGAGACCCTGTCTCAAAAAGACCAAAAAAAAAAAAAACCCAAAAACCCAAAAGTGTATTCTTGCTTTGGCTTCTGCCCAGGACCCAGGGCCATACTCCAGTGTCACTTCTGGCCTTCCTGAATGTATCATGCTCAGTGACCACAAATATCATGCCACCATCAATCAAAATATTAGCTTTAAGAACAAAGATTAGCATTTGGATTTGCTGTTTAATTTTCTTCCAAAAATAGGAAAGTAGAGGTCTGGGGAATGGCCCAGTCAATAAAATGTTTGTGGCACAAGCATGAAGAACTATGTTCTGCTCTCTGGCACCACATAAAAAGCCAGGCGTGGTGGTTCAACTCAGAGTTGAAACACAGTCAGGAGGGTCCTGCAGGCTCACTGGGCACTCAGTGTAGCCAACTGGTTCAGGATCAGCAAGAGACCCTGTCTCAAAAATAAGTTGAACAATGTTAATGTCCACCTCTGGCCTTCATACATGCAAGTACTCACAAACACATGCACACAAGTGTGCATATACACAAACACCACAGAACACACAAATGGAAAGTATTACATGGGAACTGAATGAAAGAACTTATATACTTTATATGTTAAAATGTTACTAATTTGGGGTGGCAAGATGCTCAGCTAGTCAGGTGTTTGCCAAATAATATCTGAGTTTCATCCCTGGAACTCACATACAAGTGAAGAGAGAGAACTCACTCCATAAAATTGTCCTCTGACCTCTTACTGTGTACCGTGGCATGCATGCCCCACCCCCCATACATCATACACACATAGTAATAAATAAAAATCTAAAATATATTGTATGTAAATTGTACAAATAAAATGCACAATAATTAAAGATGAAAACAAAACCATAATGTTATGCTTAAAACAAATAACTAAATATATAAAGAAACTGACAGTTAATATTATGAGAGTGTTTAGGATACCTTTAGGAAGACTACATTCTTTTACTCTGCCTGGAGTAAAAAAATATAACTTTTTGGTTTTTTTATTACATTTACTTGTGTGTACATGCATATGTGCATGTATATGTGTATGTGTGTACGCGTGTGTGTCTAGCACACATGTGGAAGTTAAAGGACCATTTTCAGGAATCAGCTCTCCTACCATGCAAGTCCCAGGCAATGAACTCGTATGTCAGGCTTGGCAGCAAGTGCCTTTGAGAGGACCCACTGAGCCAGTTCCCTGGCCCTAATTTTAATTTTTTAATTGAATTTAAAAACAACATAATGAAAGCTAAATTTTTCATAATTGTTATGTTTATGAAACTGGTATACCTGAATTCAAATTATAAGACAATACTTAAAGACTATTTCATTTAGTAGTTAAGTTTGATTTACGTCATGATTCTTTCAAGAAATACTTATTTGGGATTTGTATCTTATAATGAGGAACTAAAAGCAGAATGTAAATTGTATCCCAAAATTTCTTAAGAGGAGGAAAAACTTTAGAAATCACACATGATAACAAAAAATTATCCTTGACCTACACAAATTCCAGATTGATTAGTGTATTCCCAAAATCTATTCTGTGACATGAGCTTTAAACAAATTAGGAATTTAATTTTTGTTACTTATTACTGAGCTAAGTTTGGAATTCAACATCCTCTATGTTAAAATATTTTCATCCAGGAAAAAGATAAACTTGGTTTTGTAAATAAATTTTTACTTTCCTCAATAAATACCAAAAGCAAAGCCAAATAAAATAAGATGTGCACAATTTATCACAGACTAAAAGAAGCACACCGTACAAGGCAGACTGCTGCAAAGCAAAAATTTCACAAGGTCCCAAGCAGCGGCAGAGATTTCTAATGAAGAGGCACAATGTGAATGTATGTATATAAACATATATGTATATATGTTTATATGTGTATATACATGTGTATAAATATAAAATATGTGTGTGGTACTGCTGTTTTGAACCTAGAGCTCTGTACACGTCAGATGAGTGAGTTTCTGTTAGGCTATGTGTCCAGGTGGGATTTATTGTGGGTGCATGCATGCATGTGTATCATGTGATTTTGAAGCTTTCTCATAAGTTTCATCGATACTAATAATGGGGCAATATGCAAATCTAGTAATTATCAAAAGCCTATTATATTTCTAACAATTTCAGAAATCAATGTTATACTCAATCATTGAGATAAAATAAGAGAAACCACACCCAAGAGCAAACACTTTTGAAAACAAGCTGTGTGCAGTGATTCAAACTTGTAATCCCCAAACTTAAGATGGCTCAAACAGGACTGACATGAGTTTGAGGTCAGCCTGGGCTACAGAGTGAGACCTTCGAAAGAAGAAAAAAAAGTAGGCCGAACTGGACAAGTAGCTCAGCGGAAGAGCACTGAGATGTGCAAAGCTCTGGGTCAAAACAACAGCACCATACAAAGTAGTTCCCTGTTCTATCCGTTCCATTCCACATCACAAACGTTATATACTCAAAAGAAGTCAATTCATCATTTACCATTTCTTTTTTGTTTGTTTTGTTTTGAGACAGGGTCTCACTATTGTAGCCTGGACTCACCTGGAATTCACTATGCTGTTATATTCAAATTCAGAGATCACCTGCCTTTGTCTTCCAAGTGCCTGAATTAAAAGCATACACCACCGCAGCTGATATTTATCACTTTTGAATACCAAGGATTGTATGTACATGTGTGCTTATTTGTGTGCCTCAAATCTAATGCCCAGCTAATATCTAGAAATGACAGAAATAATGACATTCTGTTCATACAATAAATGTTAATGATTCAGTTATTTATGGATATCTGTCTTGATTAAAATTATATGTTTATTTTCACAGTTACATATCAACATATACAAATTAAAACATATTAAGGTTATACTACAGAAACATAATTGTATAAAATATTATAACTTATTTATATATGCATTTTTATAATTACGTACTTTAAAGGATTGTTTTAACTTTGCCTAAGATAAAATGTAAGAATTACAACATCTGAAATTTAAATATCGATGACGGCCAACCAGATTTTCTTTACCAAAGACTGGAATTATGAAAAAGGAACAACAACAACAAAAAGAATGGAACGGAGGCATAAAGATGAGTCATATATGAGCAAGGACTTTAGTATTTGCAGTAAGTGTACACAGCAAGGACTTTAGTATTTGCAGTAAGTGTACACAGCAGTCTACTTAAATGTGTCTCATTATCTGAAAAAAAAAAAAAAAGGCCAGGTCTATAATCCCAGAACTAGGGAATAAGAGGCAGGAGGATCACCACAAGTTCAAAGTCAGCCTGTTCTATATAGAGAGCTCCAGGCCAGCCAAGTCTATCCAATGAGATACAGTCTCAAAATAAATAAAAACAAAACAAAATAAAACACACAAGGCTTATCACACACATGGAAGGCCTTCAAATGAAACTGAAAAACAGCAGAAAGTTGTTTTTCAAATACCTTCAGGGTATGGGAAAAAAATACATATTTTCAGTCCTTTTTATTTTTCTGGAAAAGAAGTTAGGAACATCTTATTAAAGTTCTCATAAGTAGTATGGGTGTGCCTATAGAATACCAATAGCAGGCAAATGACAGGACTGAAAGCAAGAACAGTCTTAAAATGATTTCAAAACTGGACCAAAAGCCAGAGATGGGCCTGTTTCCTGATCATGACTTGGACAGTGTGGGGGCTGATGACACAACGTACCTGGTGAACCTGAATTTCCACTTTAAGAGCCTCCTGTAGAGTCTGCAGCTCCATCCTCTGCCTCCACCTTCTCTTGTGTCTGCTAAGCCTCTAGTCTCTTCAGCCTCCGTTCAGAATGACAAGCTCCTCTTGTTGCTGCAGCTGTAGAGATCACAAAGACGTTTGGGATCATTGCGTTGGGAATAAAGAAAAATTTTTGTTAAAATAATTTAGTTAAAATATTAGATTTTGTAATATAAAGAAAAAAATCCAACCCCAAACACTTTTTATAAAACAATTCAGTGCCAATTGTTTTTCCAGCATTTGTCTATAGAATACTTCAAATAACCAAGAAAAGAAAAACAGCAGCAAAAGTCATGGTCATGGCAACATGAGCACCCACTGTGTGCTCAGCACTGTTGTATGCTACACACTGAGGACACAGAGTTGAAGGACAACTTCTAACCTACATGACAACCTAGGATGGGGCCTGTCACCAATCAGAGCATGCTGTACTTAGGAAGAGACACAGAACAGTATGGTCAAGCATTTTAAAAACTGGAGTAGACTGGAGCGATCACTTCTCCTAGGGGCTAAGTTAAAGTACCCTGGGTGAGGGTGCTTACATTTGATTAGGCTCTTACTCTGTTCTAAAAACAAGTCCAAAACAAAGAGAAATTAACACAGACAAACAAAATGCAATGCGAATGTGCTGTGCAGTTAGGACAGGAACTCAAGAAACGCATCTTTGTGGGAAGTATCTGGGATGGTCTAATAATGGAACATGTTTCCAGCTTTGCAATGAACATCATCTCCTTTTCAAACTTGCCAGTGCATCTCTTTGGCCATATGTGTAACTGCATGTGGAGATGTCAAAAGTCTAAATTTATGAGCATAAATGGGACACCCAGCCTCATCTTCCTATGCCCTACTCACCACTACTGCACTTTAACTAAATGCCTTTCTCTTTTAACTTTTTTTTCTTTTCTTAAAGACTTAGACAAAAGTATATTTTGTCGGAATAAATTTAAACTTTATTGAAAATCTCTTTTCTTCCTTACACCTATAGAAGTTGTGGCTGAAGGAAGAGAACCACTAAAAGGCAGAACCCTACTCGACAGCAACATGCTAGGATTCACAACCTTCCCAATTTCTTACAACTATCTGTCCATGGATAGCCCACACTCAGTCCAAGCATTCTAAAAGTCCTTTGAAAACTAATTTCAGAGTTATAATGGAATCATTAACTACAGACTGAATTCTGAGGAATACTAGTTTTCATTATATTTACTTAATCTCTCTGGGATTAAAACATCAGTGATATTCTCTCCTTTAGGGTTTATATACTATGTTATGTAATATCAAAATATTCTAGCCAGAAAAAAAAGATTAAATTCCCATAGTAAAAAAGTCCTTAGCTGGACATGGTGGCACACACCTTTATTCCCAGCACTCCGGAGGCAGAGGCAGGCAGATCTCTGTGAGTTCAAGGCCAGCCTGGTCTACACAGTGAGTTCCAGGACAGCTGGGGCTATAGGGAGACCCTGTCTCAAAGAAAAAGACCAAAAAAAAAAAAGTCCTTCAGAGTTTTGCCTCTAGAGACTAGCAAAGATTTACTGTATGAGGATATTGTTTAACCAAAAAATTTCATGTAGGCAAGATTTAGGAGGAATAATCTGAAAAAGGAAACAGATCTTGATGAACACACCTGGGAATTTCAGCCACTTATTAGTGCAAAAAAAAATGTTGAACTATAAATACCAAAATTATTAGTAACTCATTTAGACCAAAATTTCAGTGGTCATTTAAGCTTTCTCAATTTGAAGTTGCTAGTATTGAAACTATATGGCCACTTTAATTTTAAATGCTAAATAATCTCCCTTTTCTAATTCTTAGTTTACATATTTTTAGTTCTGTTTCACAAGGTTTCACTATGTAGCGCAGGCCTGCCTCACACTGCCTAGGTAGCCAGCCTGAACTTGAATTCACAACAATCCTCCACCTCAATCATTGAATGCTTGAATTAGAGCTGCTTTACCACCCTGCACCCGCTACCCCTGCTTATATTACAGTTCTTTAAAACTGTGTGGTTTTAAGTTTTGCAAGATTCTATCTGGAAATATGTAAAAAAAAAAAATTCTTAAAATTCTTTTCACATCAAGTATCACCCTGAGGTAGAAGAAGTACTTTAGAAAACAGAAAGGTTTATGTTATTCCATTGTGGTAACACAGAAACAAGTAGGTTACAAACACAGGGAACTTACAATACCCATAGCAAAAGGTTAATATTGTTTATACAATCAGGGCCTTTGAGTACTAATTAACAAAAACGTATAGAAAAGTAATTCTCAGAAGAAATAAGAATGATCAATGAGGGCAGGGGGTGAATGCAAAGTACCTAATACACTTGTAGGAAAATATCTTTATGTGTATGAAAATATCTTTATGAAGCCCATCCTATATAAAAAGAATATATACTCATTAAAAAAACTTACTAAAAGAATGATCAATGACTATGAAAAATATCCATTTTAAATAGTTATAGAAATGCCCATTTTAAGAAGGTAAGTTTTATCCATCATACTGAAGGTGTATAATAATAAACTCTGAGCTGCCCAAAATTTGTCGGCTGAAACTTCAAAATTAGCTGATGGCCATCTCTGGCAGCACTAAGTGACTTCCTTCCTTTGGGGGTTGTCAATATTTTCAAACTTTTCCGTACACAATTCAGACCTCCTTCTAACTAAGAAAAAAATTAAATGAGGATTAAAAGTATCAGAAAATTTTACAGCATGCAAACAAAATGCTCAAAAAGAGGGGAAAAAAATAGCTGGGTATGGTGGCACACTCCTACAATCCCAGCACTCAGGAGGCAGAAGCAGGCCAGATTAGAGTGGGTTTGAGATCCTGTCTCAAAAAAGAAAAAGAAAGAAAGAAAGAAAGCAGGAAGAAAGGAAGGGAAGGAGGGAAGGAAGGAGGTAGGGAGGGAGGGAGGGAGCAGGAAGAAAGAAAGAAAAGGCAAAACCAGGGTTTAACCTGGGGACTCTAAATGTCAGAGTGCCTCATATAATAATAAGCCTGCAACTCAAGTAATGAGGAGCTGACAGCTTGTACTCTTCCATCAGACTGTTTGATGCTTATTAGCGACATACAAAGGCATTTTAAATTCTAATTACCCATTTTATTTTAAAATAAGACTGAAGGGTTAAAAAAGATAGTGACTAGTTACAGAAAAACTCAGGGAGGATTAGAAAATTAATTTGACATCTTCCTAGGTCTCTTTTTGGACTGTGATTTTAAGAGAATGGCCTCTGCCTAAAGGAACAAATGTTATACATAGATTTATAGTTTATAAACACAAGGCAAGAATATGTTGAATCCTTTAAAAAACACTCGGGGTCTTAATTTATGCAGCCATCATCTAAACACTATTTGGAGGGAGTCTGCAGTTTCACAAGAAGTCATTTCTTTCTTTCTTTCTTTCTTTCTTTCTTTCTTTTTCTTTCTTTTTTTTTTTAAACTTTATTTATGGGGGTTCACATGCTACGCTGTGTGTGTGGGAGTCAGAGAACAACTTGTGGGAGTTAGTTCTCTCCTTCTATCGTATGGCTTCTCTAGGGATCAAACTCAGGTCCTTGGCAGCAAATACCTTTACTCAGTAAGTCATCTCTCTGGCCCCCAAAAGCTGTTACTTCTAAATGTATAAAAGATGATTTACTACATTTTTGGCCAGTTCTAATAAGTGGGGTGTGTGTGTGTGTGTGTGTGTAAAACAAATCAGTTACTGAAAGATGACTATAACAGACTCACATGACAGTAACACGGTAACAAGCATTTTGGGGGGCTAGAGTGATGTACTTTTACCACCCAACAGCTATGTATGCTTTCATCAGTGAGGGCACCTGCCTATCACAACATGCCAAAGTTCTGTTGTCAAAACTGTACACATCAAACCACTAGGTTACCTAATGGTCTCTCATCTTCAAATAACAGAACAAAACAAAACAAAGCAAAACAAAACAAAGGATAAAACAGTCAGATGTGATGGTACACATCTATAATCCAAACCCTTGGGAGCAGGAGGCAGGGGGATAAGACGCTCAAGTCATCCTCAGCTACACAGTGAGTTCAAGGCCAGCCTGAGGTATAAGAGGCCTTGTTTCAAAACAAAACAAAAAACATCAGCATCATCACAAACTAAACAAAACAGATCTCATTTTTAAAAAAGTCATGTAGAAAAAACATTTATTGCCCCCCCATAAAACAAAACAAAATACAAAACGAACAAAAAAGATTGGTTGTATGACTGATTTCATCCTCTGGCATGCTTGCTTCCTTGTAAACTGGGAAGTGGGGTTAATGTTACCTACTGCGGTATTGTTGAGGTCTAAGTAACAAGGTCTCTGAAAAACCCTCTGTAAGCTATAAAGTTTTGTGCTATTCCTGACATATTTAACTCTTCTTCATACTTAAACTTTTAATAAAACCCTCAAATTCTCTAAGGAAGGGGCTACTATTTTTCTGAATAGTTTTGCTTGGAGATACAGGACCTCTAGGTCTTTTATTACAATTTTTATAACTTGTGGCTGAGCTGCAACTCCAGTTCTACTGCTAAGAAACAATCTGTAACTAAATTGACAAAATCTCTTTTCCTACCAAAATTCGACAGGTAACCAACAGTAACTTTAACAGCAAGTCCACGCCATTGTGTACCCCAGACTGTCCCTAAAAACAGGTAGCTTTGTGCTAGACACCATGCATTCTTTGTTGTTAAAAACTCTGCTTTCAGGGGCTGGAGAGATGGCTCAGCAGTTAAGGACACTGGTTGTTCTTGCAGAAGACCTGGGTTTGAATCCCAGCATCCACATGGCAGCTAACAACTGTCCGTAACTCCAGTCCCAGGGGATCTGATAGCCTCTTCTGACCTCCGCGGGCACTGTACGACATAGGTGCACTTACCTACATGCAGGCAATACAAGCATACACGTAAAATAAAAATAATAATAAAATTTTTTAAAAACCCCAAAACTCTGCTTTTGATTTTCATTCTTACTTATGTTTTTAAAAAGTTTAATATTAAGCCAGGTGTGGTGGCACACGCCTGTAGTCCCAGCACTTGGGAGGCAGAGGCAGGCAGATCTCTGCGAGTTCAAGGCCAGCCTGGTCTACATAATGAGTTCCAGGACAGTTGGGGCTTCAAAAAAAAAAAAAAAAAAAAAAAAGTTTAATACTTTAAAGAGGGAAGAGCAGAATGTCTTGACAGATTCATATACACTTACCTCTTGCCCCACACCCAATATTGAACTATCAGGATTCAGTTTCTTACTACAAGATCAAATAATATCACTGACTATTAACCAATAGTGTTAAAAATACTATAAATGATAAAAATTAAAAGTTCTGTTAATGGCATCTATTGAAGATTTTAAACATTATTAACATGAATCAAAAATAGCCACTGTAAACTCTAATTTTTCCTTATTGGTCTGCAATTTTTCAACACATCCAGATTTACTTTCAAAGTGGTATTTCTTCAGTGACACTCCACTGGTCAACAGAAAATCCTCCTATACAAGAGCTGACAACTCTGATTTAGAGGCTGCCCACCCTTTGACTCTGATAGAGCTATGTGTTCAAATCCTGGTGTGACAGCGATTGACAAATCCAGTATAGCTAGTTTGATGTCTCCAAATAATTATATTAAATAGTTAATGTTTACTAATTATTAAATGATGTTTCTTATCTTTTAAATTATCTCATTTGTCTGAGTTTAGGAGGAGAGAGAATAGGTCATTTATTTTGTCTTTTTTTTTTTTTTTTCAGAGCTGAGGACTGAACCCAGGGCCTTGCGCTTGCTAGGCGAACACTCTACCACTGAGCTAAATCCCCAACCCCGAGAATAGGTCATTTACAAAATAAAAATTTTTAAGGAGTACATACAGAGCTCACAGCACTGCAGCCAAAGGGCCTTTGTGGGATTTGGGGTCAGGTGAGGGTTTCCCACAACATTCTCCTCTTCCCCACTATCAGGCTCATCCCTGGGTACAGGTTACCCTCAGCTTCCAGGACCAAGGCTGCCTGAACATATACATTCTTCTATTCCTACCTTTCTTTACAGAAAGGAAGCATGCATATTAAAATCTGAACCAAACCCAATGAGGGGAACACTGAGGTAAAATTTACAAGTTACAGAAAACCAAAATGGAGGAGGTTGGAGAGAAGTGTATTAAAGCATGGTTGACAACATGTCTAAAATTTTAGAATTGGCTGCCACATTTACTGAAAAGTTATTTAATGATCTAAGGGGGGTGGGGAGGACAGGGACAGGACTCTCCAGGCAAGCCTGTCCAGAATCTTATAAATACCTACCACAAAAAGGATAACACAGGAAGGTATGGTGGTCATACATAACCAATCAATATTATATTCAGTAGAAATAAAGTCAAGGGAGGTAGATTTCAGATCAATATCAAGAACTAAGGATTAGAGCTGTACAAAAAAGGAATGGGTTACCTTATGAGGTAGTGGGCTCCCTGTCATTAGAAGTATTCAAGAATGCTGCACATCAGATCCCCTCTTGGAGATTCACAATGCACATTAGCATATTAAAGGTTCTGAGAAGTCCTGCAGTAAAGAAACCTGTTTAACTTTATTTAATGCAGCATTTCCCAAATTATTTGATCATAGAACCCTTTCCCACCCCAGCCCCAATCTTCATAATACTTATTCAGTTTCTGTGGAACCAGAGTTTCTCAGAATACATTACAGAAAACAATGGCCTACATTTTTTAAAATGTAGCATTCAATATGCACCTGAATAAGTAACAAACTGTCAGGGACATAGGAAAAGAAATTGTCACACAGGATAAGGAGTTAAGAGGAGGCCTTGAAGGTCCCTTCTTTAAGATTCCATGAGTCTATGGCATCACAAAGCAAAGGTTCTGATTATTTACTTTAAAAGGTTCCATGAGAGAAAGAAAACACAATCAAATGGTAGTAATATCCAAGGTGAGCTGCTTCAAGTGTTTCCTTTTCATGTTCAAAGCTTAGTCTCCAAAAGCAACACACTAGAAGGGGCACAAAACCAAAACCCTGCTATCTGTTCCGCTCACTAAATTACTATTTGAGAGAGAGGGTTTTAAAAGAAGCAGTGTTACACTGGAGGATTACACAACTCCAGCTTTTTTTTTTTTTCATAACAAATGCTTTCCAAATAAAGTTGATATCTGTTTGATGCTTAAGTCACCAGATTGTCCAGTGCAATCTATGATCTTGAATTAAGATTTTTCAAAAGCTGATTAACTATGATAAGTTATAAGCCATTAAAAAGTCTATGGATAGACATTGAGAAAAATGTCTTTGTCCCTCTCTCTCATTTTTTCCTTCAAAAATTATATAAAACACATACTAAAAACATAATCTCAGACATGAAGCCAGTCTAATATTAAGAACAGAAATTCTAAGAAGTTCCAACTTTCAAAGTCAAAGGTCCCATAGCTACATTAACCTTACCAGTTTATATACACACTAAGGCCATCAACTTGAACAGCATAGCAAGTAATACAAAACACATGGGAAACTGAACTTTTGCATTCTCAGGCTTAATCAATGCATTAAGGATATTTTTGACCAATGGGACCTTTATATTTTAATGAGCTATCAAATTTAGGAACATGGGAGTCTAGCAGCACTGCTAGAAACACAAATGCATTTCAGATACCTATAATAAATTAAAATCTCACTTTCAGTGCAAACTGCAAAGTCTCATTTTCTGGAAGAATGGGTTTTTTGGGGGGGAGGTGGGCAAGTCTCTTACAAATCACTTAGTATTTAGATGATTCTGGCCAGTACCAGGCACGGAACACTTGCTTAGTAAAAGTACTTACCAGTTTTGGGGAAACTGGCTCTCCTTCAGCTCTCTAGTCCCCTATAACAGAAGAAGAAAAACATGGAATTAAACTACAGATTTATGATGTCATCAAAAGCTAAAGACTCAAAGATTTCTGATTTTAAAAAAAGGAAACATGTAACAGTCTCCAAATTTTAAAACCCAAAAGTAAACAAAGCAAGAAATAAGTACTTTTTACATAGCAAAGAAGGAACTCAAGAGCAGTTAAATTTCTGCTATAACAGAGTTTTTCAAGACCAGGAAAAAATAAGTACTAATGACCCTTGAACAACAGGGGAGGGCACTGTTAAAGTCAAACTTCCCTAGTCAAAAACCAAGAGTATAACACTTAACTCCTCAAACACCTACATACTAATACTGGGATGATGGTGGAAGCCTCACCAACAAAAGGAACGGCTGATCAACAAATATTCTGTACATTATGTGTACCTAGAAAAAATATGGTGAAAAATAAGTGATAGCTACATGATTCTGGATGGGATGCAGAGATGATCTGCTCACAGGGATCCACAAGACATTGCAACATCTTCAATGGATATAACACCTGAGCTCAGAGCCTCATAGGGAAAGCAACAGGAGGCAGCTATTATGACAGAGCTGGGTGTGGTGGTGCACAACTGTAATCCTAGCATTCAGGGGCAGAGGCAGGAGGATCTCTGTGACAGTTTGAGATCAGCTTGCCACAAAGACAATTCAAGCCAGCCAGGACTACCTACTATCTACTCTGTCTCAAAATAAAATATAAACTAAAATTAAATTAAATTAAATTAATAAATAGTGCAGTGTTATTGGTCAGCCTTATGCAGCTGTGATTTAATACTACATTGATGTTTGTTAACATTTCTCTTGACTGTAACTGGCAGCAGGTGCACTTTTTAATTTTTGATAAATCCTAACTTTGACAATAGATTTGTGAATATTTTGTAGAATGATAAAATGGACTGATCTACATATATGTTAATCATTTAAATGGCTTCTCTGTTGCTTCTTTATAGTAAAACATAAAGAACATTCTAAGTCCTTAGTTTGATCCACTTAAAAGGTTTTTTTTTTACAATAAATCTTGAAATGAATCTGCTTTATGTAAGGCTTCAAATTAAAATTATATAATGCATAAAATAAGTATATATGTAAATAAATGTCAGAATTTTAATTAAATTTTTATTTACATTCTCAGATGTATACTGCTGCTTTAGACTATAAACCACAAGCACACAATGATCTGCTCTGCCACATTTATAATCAGTGATAAAGTCAAAAAGAAAATCCAAACTTTGGGACGCTGATGCAGTATTAGGGAGCTAATGTTATCTAAATGATCTGGACTCCGCATGCCACACTCTGAATGTCATTATGTCTAAAACAAAGTATGCTTGCTAACTTATGCTACTCTGACAGGGTCTAGTTTCCTCAGAATATTTCAAAGATCCTGCCACTCAGATTAGAAATCTCTGTTAACCTGTACACATATTAAGCATGCAGTAAAAGTATTTTAAAAGGGCCCCCAATTCACACAGTTTGCATTTGCTTCCAAAAGAGAGTCATTTAGCTGCCTTTCCTCCTTTTTCTCCAACTGCAGTTCTTTTCAAAATTCTCACAGGTCCTTCTAAAGAACTATATTAAGATCAGAATGAATTCCCAACCACAAGAAAATTCATGCAAAATGCAGCTGTTAAAAACAGATTCTAAGTGCCCTCTGGCTTCAATGACTGCCTTGGACCAGGATGGGCAACCTAGAGTTGTAGTGGGTTCCTACATATAAGACCATCAGGCAAAATTCACAGAAAGTTTCGTCTGTAGATACTTTGAGTCTCTTTGGGTTGTTTTTCACGCATGGGGGACAAATTGCTAAAGGCTCATTCCAAAGAAATGTTGAGGCTCTTTTTGGAGATAGGGTTTTCTGCTGTTTATTAAAGCCTCATAGAAACAATATTTATTTATAACAGGATTTAACCTCTAAGACATATTTTTTTCCTCTTTTTTTTTTGTTGTGTTCTTTAGCACACTTTGAAATCAACTTTTATCCTCTAAATCCTAATCGTTTTCGCTCTCTTCAACAACTAAAAGCTATTTCAGCATCAGCTCCTTAAAAAAGGCTCTTCTCGGGGCTGGAGAGATGAGTCAGTGGTTAAGAACACTGGTTGTTCTTGTAGAAGTGTAAATCCAGGTCCAGGGAATCCAATGCCTCTGGCCTCCTCAGACCTTCTCAGGCTCCCACATGCATGTGGCATATACACATGTGCACATGATTAAAAATAATAAAGACATGGCTGGAGAGATGGCTCAGCGGTTAAGAGCACTGACTGCCCTTGCAAGAGGACCCAGGATCCTTTCCCAGCACCCACATGGCAGCTACAAACTGTCCTTAACTCCAGTTCCAGGGGAATCCGAAGCCTTCTTCTGACCTCTGTGGCATTGCACGACATGGGTGCACTGACATACATGCAGACAATACACTCATACACATAAAAACTAAATAAAATATTAAAAAAAAAAAAGAGGTTCTTCAGGTCAAGCATGGTGGTCCACACCTCTAATCCTAGTACTTGGGAGGGAGAGGCAGGCAGATCTCTGTGAGATCGAGGTCAACCTGGTCTACATAGCAAGTTCCAGGCCAGCTGGAGCTACAGGGTGACCCTGTCTCCAAAAAAAAAGAAAAAATTTCTTGACTTTGACTTTTAATGACCCAGTTAACTTTATAAACAGTGCCTCACCTAAAACCCTTCAAATATAATTATGCCCCACATAAAAGCAGAGCCTTATAATTTCTGCAGGAAAGAATCTGCCATACCACTCTAAGGATGCCTAAAGTAGTAGTACCAGGCACACAGTGGATGCTAAACCATCAGTTAAGTGAATGGACTAAGTGGACAGACACAAACTGCTGCAGGTCTATCTTCCTTCTCTGTCTTCTAACTTCCTTGCTAGTGTTCAGGATGGAGTTAGCTTCTCATACATCAATCTCCCATAATATTATTTGCTAAATTAATGATTTTCTTTTGTTCAAATTGTTTACTAGGGAGTAAAATACCATTTTAAAATATAATGAAAAGAGAAAGATTGATACATTGATCTAAACTAAAATTAAGAATTTGTGTTCATTTGAAAAACAAGAAGAAACACCATTAAAAGCGTGAATGAAGGCCATCAAGACAGTTCAATGGGTAAAAGTACTAACAGCCAGCTGCGGACCTGAGTTCGATGCCCAGGACCCACAGGCGGGAAGCAGAGAGCCAACCTCTCCAAGTCTTCCTCTGACTGCCACATATATGGCATGGCATGCACACCCACATACATACACAAAAACAAACATAATAAAAGAAACTTCTCAAAAGAGTAAATGAAAAGGGCTAGACAGATGGCTCAGCAGTTAAGAACACTGGTTGTTCCTGCAGAAGACCTGGGTTCGAATCTCAGCACCCACATGGCAGCTAACAACTGTCCGTAAGTCCAGTTCCAGGGGATCCAACAGCCTCTTCTGTCCTCCGTGGGCATTGCACAACATGAGTGCACTTACTTACATGCAGGTATAACACTCATACACATAAAATAAAAATAATTTAAAAAAATTTTTTTAATGTAAATGGAAAAGCAAGCCACAGAATTGGAAGTAACCATGATACACATAATCAACAAAGGCATATACCCATGATGTACAAAATATATTCAGACAAAAGTGATCAGGATAGGGTGGGATTTAACTTCTACTTATATAGCATTTGAGAAAAATTAATCACATAAACTCTTCTGAGGAGTCAGCAAGAACACAGCAAAATGTGTGTGCCTTCTCTCTCAGGAATATTCTCCAAAATTCAGCAGCAGACCCCATCCTAAGCTAATGAAGTAAATTTTTTTCCGTGCTATCATGGCATTGATCATAGAGTCGCTTATGAGGACTGTTGAAATCACATAGGGAAGCAAAGCCTGAGACTTCTCAAAGGGCACTCAGCTAGTTGGTGACAAAGTCAGAAAAGAGCTCAGAGGCCTGAGAGTCGTCTGCCTGAGCTCACTTCTCCACTCAACTCTGCCTGCTCTGAAGCATCTGTGCAAGTTGCTCATCTGAGAAATAAGCCATGACAAACACCGGGAAACCCTTCCAGTAAAGCTATGAAGGAAAATCACATGGAAGATATTTAACCAAGTTTCAAAGTCTGAAATTCTTTATGTTTAGGGGATCCCTACAAGTGGGCTTTGGAGAGCTGTGAACTCCCCAGGTACCCAATTCTGTGTGCATGAGCACAGCCACAGTTCCAGGGAAGAGCTTCAATCAGATTCACAAAGCATCTCTAGAATGATTCTTAACATCTGCACATCAGAACTCCAAAAGTGTTTCTTCTGAAGATTGACTGGTTACTGATTGAAAAGAAAAATATTTTATTTCTATACTGTAGTAAGGCTGAAGAGCAAAAGACAAGATAAGACAAGATGTACAAGAAAATCTGAATTCTTTTTTTTTTTTTTTTTTTTTTTTTGAGACAGGGTCTCCCTGTAGCCCTAGGTGGCCTGGAGCTCAGTATGTAGACCAGGCTGGCCTTGAACTCACAGAGATCTGCCTGTCTCTGCCTCCCAAGTGCTGGGATTAAAGGCATGTGCCACCATGCCTGGCAAAGTGTATACTTTTTACATTATCCATATGCAAAAAAAATACCCAAGTCTAAAAGGCAAGTTTGATTTCCTCACAGTAAGTTAGCAGCAGTCTACTTGTTTCTCACATACATGTCATACTTCTATCTGAGGTAGTTCAAAACCTCGATTAAATGTGCTTAAATTCTTAAAATACAGATTACTTCTTGAAAAAATATATGCAAGAGCTGAACATGGTGACACATGTCTGTAATCTTAGCAAACAGGAGGTAGCTGAGACAGGAAGATTCAGAGTTCAAGAATAGCCCAGGCTAACACAGCAAGTACCAGGCCAGCCTGGGCTACATAGTGAAACCCAGGCTACACAGTATCTCAAATAAATAAATGAAAAAGAAACTAAGAACAAAAGAAAGATACATTCAAAATACATAAGT